ATCAATATTACAATGTATCAAAAATCGGTTCTTTTTACAGTTATTAAAGAGAGAGGAGAAGAGAGATGTGATTAAATGATGAGCAAGAGGGAGAAGAAGAGGAGAGCCAATAGGAAAGGAGGAGGAAGGAGAAATGAACACAGAATGCAAGCACCAAGAGTGGTCATAAAGAAAGAAAGAAGGTGCGTTGGCTGGAGTGAATGTTAGATGTGGGTAGGTGGAGAATTTTTGCTGCTGTCGTTATGAGTTTTATTGAGATATAATTTATATACCGTAAAATTCACCCTTTTAGAAGTGCACAATTTGATGTGTCTTAGTATATTCACAGGGTTATGCAAATACTATCACTATCTATTTTTTGATAAAAAAATAAAAAAGAAACCGCACAGACATTAGCATTAGTACTCTCCATTCCTCTCTCTTTACGCCAACACCCCAACCTCGCCCTAGATGATCAGATTCTACTTCCCGATTCTATAGGTTTGACAATTTTGAACATTTCATATAAATTAAATTATGTAACATGTGGCCTTTTGTGCTCTTTTTTTTTTTTTTCCACTTAGTATGGCATTTTCGAGGCTCACCCATGTGGTAGTCTCCATCAGTACTTCATTTTTATTGCCAAATAATAATTCGATTGTACAAATTTACCACATTTTGTTATCTATTCGTCAGTTGATGACATTTGGGTTGTTTCCACTTTGGGGTTATTATGAATAATGCTGCCATGAACATTCATATACATGTTATTTTGTAGACATTTATTATCATTTCCCTTGGGTGTGGAATTGCTCTGCCATGTGGTTATTCCCAGATTTACCATTGGAGGAACTGTTAAACAGTTTTTCAAAGTGACTCCATCATTTTCATCATCAACATTGTATGAGGGTTCCAGTTTCTCCACATTATTGCCAGCGCTTGTTATTTATCTTTTTGATTATAGCCATTCTTGTGGGTGTGAAGTGGTATGTCATTGTGGTTTTAATTTATACTTTCCTAGTGACTAAAGATGTTGAGCATCTTCTTATGTGTTTGCTGGCCATTTATATATCTTTGCAGAAATGTCTGTTCAGATATTTTGTCCATTTTTAAATTGGTTTGTTTACCTTTTTATTATTGAATTGCAAGGGTTCTTCATATATTCTGAACACAAGTATAAATCTCTCATCAGATTATGATTTGTTAATATTTTCTACCTTTCTGTGAGTTGTTTCGTCGCATTTTTATAGTATTATTTGAAGCAGAAACGTTTAAGTTTTGATATAATCCAGTTTGTTTGTTTGTTTTGTTGCTAGAGCTTTTGGTGTTGTATCTGAAAAACAATACCCCAACCCAAGGTCATGAAGATTCAGTCTAATGTCCTTTGAGCCTATATTATCTAATTTGCTGGCAAGTAGTTGTTTAGAACATTCCATTTTAGTCCCTTTCATTCCTTAAATTTGGTGGTGATGTCCCCTTTTGATATTTCCAAGTTTAGCAAATTATCTTCTCTCTATTTTTCCATCCTCCCCACTCCCCTTTATTTTCTCGTTTAGCCTAATTGAAACTTGTTCATTTTGTTGATTTTTTTCCCAAAGAATTAACTTTTGGTTCTACGGATGTCCTCTATTGTTATGCTATTTCCAATTTCCTTTATTCTTGCTATAAGTTTACCTCTAAGTAGTGCTTTTGCTGCATCACATAAGTTTTGGTATGTTTAGTTTTTATTTTCATTCATCTCAAACTGTTTTCTATTTGCTTTATTGATTTCTTCTTTCACACATTGGCTACTTAGGAATGTATTGTTTAATATCTACATATTTGTGAGTCTCCCAAATTTCCTTCTGTTATTGAATTCTAATTTAATTTCATTGTGGTTTGAAAACATGCTTTGTATTTCCATCCTTTCAAATTTATTGAGACTTGTTCTGTAGACTGACATATAATTTATCTTGGAGATTATTCCTTATGAACTTTGAGAAGAATGACTATTCTCTTGTTGGGTGGAGTATTCTATAGATATTTGTTAGGTTTAGTTGTTTTATAGTGTTGTTCAAGTATTCTATTTTCTTCTGTTTTGTTTTCTACTCATTATTGAAAATAATGGTATTGAAGTATTCAACTTTTATGATTGAATTGTCTATTCCCTCCTTCAATTCTCTCAGTTTTGCTTCATGTATTTTGAGATGCTATTGTTAGTGTATATATGTGGTCATAATTTTACATCTTCCTGATGAATTGATCCTTTATCATTATGGAACTCCTTCTTTATCTTTATCTTTTTTTCCTAAAATTTGCTTTGTTAGGTATAGGCACAGCAACTTCAGTTCTCATTGTTTACCGTTTGGATGGTATATCTTTTAGATCCATTTGTGTTTAGTGAGCAGTTCTTTTTAAAAATGATTTTAAATAGACTGGTGATTACCAGCGGGTAAGGGGGGAGGGGGGAGGTAGATGGGGTAAAAGGGGTCAAATATGTGGTGACAGAAAGAAATCTAACTATGGGAGATGAACACACAATGCAATATATATGCGCCTTACTGTCGAATTGTACACCTGAAACTTACTGGATTTTGTTAACCAATGCCACCATCAAACAAACAAACAAACAAACAAGCAAACAAATAAATAAGTAAAATAAAAAAGATAAAAATCATTTGAAAGTTTTTGTGTTCATAAGCTTTATTGTTTAAATGGTCATATAATATAATTCAATTTTTTCTTTTGATGTGCAGTTCTATGATTTCTAACACATATGTAGATATGCATAACCATGCCCATAATAGCATAGGAAATAATTCTATCAACCCCCCAGACTCTCTTGTGTTATTTCTTTATAGTCCACCCACCCCATAAACCTTATCCCTAGCATACAATGATATTCTCCCTAGTGGAGAGTTCATATTACATCATCACAGGTTAGGAATGCATATTGTATTATTATCATTATCGCTATTATTTGACATTTTGTTGTTGTTGATTAACCTCTGCCGATAGTGTTCTTTCTTCTCTTTCAACCTTTCTGAGGCTTCGTATTGAGGTATGTAACTATATCAGCATGAAGAGTTAGGGGCAGGTGAGGACTGCTTTCTGGGCTGATGAGAGTCACATAAATGTAGCAGATTCTTAGAAGAGTTGACACAAATTCAACATGAGGCTTGAGTTTTACTGAAGGGCTGGTATTTACCACTAAAACTGGGGACAGTACTACAGCATTGTTATGTTACCTGCTCTGGAAGTCAGCCTAGAAATGTAAGGTCTTTGGTGACAGCTGAGCAGCAACTATGCAAATTGTAAATGGTTCCTGAGTATGCTGGGCATTCTACCTCATCCTCCCCCTCTCCAATTGGCTTTGGAAAGCAAATAGACTGTAACAATAGGAGTCTGGAATGTTCCTGTGTGGGGCTGACCTTTGCATTATTGTTAATCCTTATCCTCTCCTTTCAGAGATAAGAGATTAAATTAAAACTGAATGGAAACCTCCCAAAAATTGAGCAGGAGCTTCCCCTTTTCCTCCCCTCCCCTACACTGACCTTCGCCCCTTCCAACATGAGGGAAAGCAGGAAGTTTTCCCTGTGGTTTTTCTTTGTGACGACATGATGGAGCAGGTCGATCAACGGGGAAAACCCCATGTGAGAACACGCCTTCAGCGTACATTCCCAATATTTGCTATAAGAAGAGCCATCACAGGACTTGGCTGCTATCTGAACAAAGCAGCACTTGCAAGGCACTGGGTACCCACCACGGAGCAGTTCTCATCTTCGAACTGAAAATGATGAGCAGCAGCAAGACTTTGCTCCTGGCCGCTTTGATGTCTGTGCTGCTACTCCACCTCTGCAGCAAGTCAGAAGGTAAGTGTCACCCTTTCTGCTAGCACCGGAGGAAGAACTATTTTCACTTTCCTCTAAGCCTTGAGCTTATCTGGGGGTTCCCTAAAGGACAGAAGCCTGTTAGAAAGTCTTCGAAAGCAGGTGATAGAAATTGTCAGCTCACTGGTGAGGGAGGGGAGGGAAAGGTTACTGCTGCTGACCAGGCTCTCCTCTCTGCTGTCAATCTCAGCAGATTTTGGGGTGAGTGAGCTTGTAGAGCTCTAGAATGTGGCCAAAGTGCTATTTCTAGGAGTGATGTCAATTGGGGAACATTACAAGGACTGGGCTCATGCTGAACTGTAAGAAGCACTCCCATTCTTCAGCTTTCTCGCTTCTTAACTAAATAGTTTGAATAAAGTGCAAAACTCATTCTTTAGGGGTGGATTATGGCATCTGACTTCTTCATCTTTTCAAGGCCTCAGGAATATCACTTGCCAACTTTGTAATTACGGTTATCTCATCTTACAGCAGGTTGTAATTTAAGTTGGAGGAGTGTCCAAGGATTGCTTTATTGCTGTGAGAGTGCATCACTTTTAGCAGCGGGCGCATTCCTAAAAATGCACGTGTTGGACTTTTGCAAACAAAATTTAAAATTGCCGTGAACTAATATTACAATTTCAAAGCGCTTTAGTTGTAGCTCCCATAAAAGCAGCTTTTATACATCACGTTTCCGTTGCAACTTCTTGTTCTTTCCCTCCTCCCAATACTCAGTAACCAGATAATAGATGAAAATCTGCTAATTTATTCATTTTCTGACTTTGGAAGGTTATCGTTAAGAGTTTCTCCAACTGGGAGGTACTCATATTCTTGAATGATTATAGTGAACTGAAATAAAATAGTTTGTGTTTCTTACTAAAGATATCTTTTCGTGAGAAGTCATGTGTTTATAAAGTGTATTATTGAACCGAAATTCCCCCGCACACAAACTATTTTTTAAGAGAACTAGAACTGTTCAATTGGGTCTCAAAGGCATTGGAACTGTTCCTTAAATAGTTTATTTACCATATAAATCAGATTCTAGGTTTTCCACAACTTCAAGGAGTTTTATAATACCTATCCCAGAACATTTCATTGATATGAACTCAAGACCTTTCATTTTTTTTTTAGCAGCAAGCAGCTTTGATTGTTGCCTTGGATACACAGAACATGCAATTCATCCCCGGTTCCTCCTGGGCTTCACGCAGCAGCTGGCCAGTGAAGCTTGTGACATCAATGCAGTCATGTAAGTTACGAGTTGATTCTAACTCAATTGTAGCAGGAGTACATGGGAATTTTGGGTATAAAAAGTTTTTGCCTTTTTCGAGTTTCATTCCGAAATAGCTAATGAGGCAAATAAAGCTTTTTTTTTTTTTTTAAATGTGTCATCTACTTCAAAGCTCATTTTAAAGAGGACTAGAATGAGGCAAAAATCTTTGTTTAAAAAAAGGAACATGGTTAAAGGCAAAATCACTTTCTAAGATAAAATTACAGGGTATTAAAATGCTATCTCAGGAAAATATGGAAAACATAAACTTGAAAATGAGCATATTCTACCAGAAAATGGTTGAGGCTGTACGTAAAAACTCAGGATAATTATACTGTCATATATAATATTCTTGAGTTACATAGGATATTATACTTTGGAATGATATAACTGACTGGTCAGATACATACATATTTCATGTAACCAGCAGCAACAAAGTTAAATAACAATTCTGGGACTTTATCTTCCTAACAATGCACAATTATTTATTAACTTACAGAGAAAGTTAGGGAGCATTGCTTTCATTTCTTGCATCAAGTTTTATCAGGAGCAATATATTTATTTTTTGCATTCTGTTTCACCTCTAGAATAAATGAAATGTTTAATGCGTAGAACAGTCCATTGGAATGTGAAATTTCCATTGCACGTTCTGTGAAAAAGCCATTTAAAAGCTTTCTACACTCAAACCACATTCTCTGATTTTTTCAGCTTTCACACAAGGAGAAAATTGGCTGTGTGTGCGGATCCAAAGCAAACTTGGGTGAAAAGGGCTGTGCACATCCTCAGGTATGGAATAGTCACAGTCTGTTAGCCTCTCTCCAAATGTCAGGGCAAGACCAGTGTACAGAGTGGTGGATGCTTGGCTTGCTGGAATTCTTTTGCCTAAGTATTGGAATTCTTAAAAGAGAAATTTGAGTTGGACTACCAAAAGTTCATGTTTTTTCCACTTATAAATAATTTTAATTCTTTTAAACTTAGTGATTTTTTTCACGTGATGTATTAGAGTCCTCTAGGCATATGATAGTCACTAGCTGTTTGATTCTGATCGCAAAAATGCCAGCTAGTTATATAATTTACAGACTACACAACATTTGTTTGTTAAAAACTGAAAAATAAACAGTTCAATGGTTCTGATCTACATTGGTGATAATAGAGAGTAACATTTTATCAATGGACAGAAGTCACCTAACACCTGGGTGACATAGACACGGAATTCGAAGACACAACGTACGTGCATGTGTCCCGTTTCTGACATTAGCTAGCTGAGTTATGGTGGACAAGGCCCTTCCTCTCCCAGCTTCGATTTCCTCATATGGACTCTGAGCTGTCTGTCATCCTGAGATGAATTTAGGGAATGAGAGGCAATCTTTAGGCATCAAAGCCATTCCCACCAGCCAGTCATCCTGTTTTTGCTTACGTGGTTTTTTCTTTTTTCTCTTTACAGCCAGAGAATCAAGAAGATGTGAACACTGAGGCTTTCTGGAATGGGATTGGACACAGCCCAAAAACAGGAGGACTAGCTCGAGTTGGTTTCACTTGCCCGTCATTGAGGGTTTAGCACTTATCTGATTTGTGCCTCATTGGACTTGTCCAATTAATGTTGTTGATTCATATTGCATCATATTTTGCTTCGTTAAGCATTGCATTAGAGTCAGACTCTATTTTATGTTGTTATTTATATATGTGGGTTTTTATGTGTGTGTGTGTTTTGCTATTTAATACTATTTTCCCATTTAATACTATTTTCCCATAAGCTATTTGGTTTAGTATGCGGTATAAAATGTTTAGAGAAATAAGATTATATTGACTTTCTTGCAAGCAGCAGCTCTTTTTTTTTTTAAAAAAAAGAATTTAGTTTTTCTTTTTACATATTTTTGTTTCCTAAATTGTTGTAATTACCTGTAAAAGAGAAAAGTGATATGAAAATAAATGCTGAAAATAAAGGAAAGAACTAAAAATGGTTTGTCGATTGACTTATATATAGCATTTAAGATGTATATTAAAAGTATTCGAAGGTATACTAACCATGAAAAATTTCTGAAAAATTGTATCCTCCATTTACTTCTGCCTAGTTGTTCCTTTTTTCTCTATCCCCCATGGTCTTGGACTTCATTCTACATGAATTATAATGGAAAGTGTCTTTTTTTTTTGGTTTAAGTCAACCAAACCCAAAATAAGAAAGATCCTATAGCCGAGTTCCATAGCTCAGTGTTTACTGACGTAAAATTTTTTAAAATAAAAAATTGTACCCATACACTTCGTGACTATGGGCACACAACTATTTCAAAACTTCCTGGAGAAATTACTTAGTCCATCATTTTGTACCTAGCCAGGGACCTAAGACTGGGCAGCTCAACACAGAAATGTTTCTCTACTTCATAAGTCCTGCCGAGTCATCCCTCAGCTGTTTCCAAAAAGAAAGTGACTGTGCAGAAGGTTCTTAGAACCTGATGGCCTCGCTAACCAGAGGAGAGGCTTCAAATGTGTGACGCCTAGCAAGAACCCAGAAAGAACCCAGACAAAGACCCCTGAACCAGTGTAGTCACTGTACAGCTTTCATGCACCAAAGCTGTGTCACAGAGTCGCTTGACACAGTGCCCCCTGGACCACGCCTCAGACTCCAAATGCCACTGGAAAGATCTCTGGAGGCGGGCGTGGTGATGAAAGGATGCTAAACCCAGACACACAAATCCACAAAGCAGGGCAGTGATGGGTCATGTGGCGGAGAGCCAAAACGGTGTCTCCATAGGCCCTAAAGGCATCTCTGTGGCCAGGAATAATAACACTGACTCATCAGGGAAAGTATGCTCCATATCCTGTCTGTTTATTCATCAAACATCTATTATACGTCAGGCCCTGAACCAAGTGAAGCTTGAGATACCAAGAGATAAAATGAGGACTTGATCCTTGCTCCCAGGTAATTAGGGCTGAGCCGTGTGGTGAGAGGGAGGAGATGGAGCAAACCAGCTCTTATGACACATACGCGGTGGTTAGTACTTGAATAAAGAGCCACAGGGTGCTGTAGGGCAGAGTGAGTGGTTAGGGCTTCCAGAAGGAATGACTATCTGGTTGAACCATATTAAATAGCCAATATTCGATGTTCTTGAACCATGAAGATGGCAGTCAGCCCAATACCTGAGCTGAGGTGTGAAGAGCCAACAGGAGCCACCCAGTTGAAAAGAAACAGCAGCGGGTGTTTATACCTGGGGAAATATCTGGGAGGGCATATTTTATTTGTCATAGTGTGTAAGGTGGGGTACTATGGCATTCAGTGGGCAGGAGACAGGGATGCTAAACCTGTTAGAGTGCACAGGATCGTCTTGCACCATGAAGAACTGCCACTCAAAATGTCAGTCAGCTGAGCAACACTGGATGAAGCGGGATGTATTCATGGAACGGGGGTGGGGGCGAAACTGTTACCTCAACTGAGAGCAGTGGTTTGAACTTGAACCTAGAAACACTGGAGAAGCATTGAAAAAGTCAAGGAGGAAGGGGAGGTGGGAAGGAAGATGGAAGCAGAGGTCCCAGAGAGCTGCAAAGAGCAAGGCGAGAAATGGCGAGACTTCGGTGAACGCCGTGGCAAAGAGAAAGATGAGGACGAGATGGGTTTGGGATTCCCTAGGAATCAACCTGGACTCCTCTTCTCCCCCACCAGCCACCCTTCCTGGAGGAGCATGCCAAAGAGAGCCTTTGGCTGACTGCTGGGAGGCCTCTCCGGGGGAGCCCAGAGGAGCCCAGCAGAGCCAGAGAAGGTGCACGTTTTGTTAGTGCTCTGAAGGTGTCTGACTCTTTTGGGAACATGAGTACTGATAAGCGTTAGCTGAGTTTCCGGGGAGTGAACTTTCCAGGTCAGAACGTCAATTTATTAATCACAATAAAAACGTTCTAGTGTCAAGGGCATAGGTGACATTACACACACACGCGCACACACACTGCAGATTGAAAGAGCAATAAGTTCTTAAGATCCCAAATATCCAGTTAATGTTCAAATTTCCTATTTGTTTTTTAAAAAGTTGTTTTTATTTGTTTTTTTTTGGCAGTTGATTTGCTTGAATGAAGATCCAAATTCAGTCCATACACCGCATTTGTTTGTTTGTTTGTTCGTTTACTTCTAATCTACGTTTCTGACCACCATCCCAACCCCCTCTCTTTTTCCTTTGCAGTTTATGGAGAAACAAGGACAATTATCTGAAGTGTCTCACCTTCTGGGTTTTCTTGATTGCATTCCTGTGGTGTCATGTAGCACGTCCCCTGACTCCTAGTTAGAAATAAAGGTGGGGTTGAGCTTGGTTGGAGGAAGGGCAGAAGACCACTTTCTAAGAGGCGCTGTGCCACATAGGTATAAAGTTGCCTAAACCAATGTCAGCAGCAGGAGCGAAAAGGAGGAGACTGAGCCTGTGCCAGTCTCCACGAAATGTGAAGAACTAATCAAGACCTTTGCTTCACAGCCACGGCAGGGAGAGCAGATGGTCTTCCATGTACTTCAGAGGAGGTAATGGAGGAGGAATGTAGGAGCACCATCAAGGGAGCACAGAAACGCTGGTCTCCGCCCACCCCTGGCATTATGGCTGTCTTGGGAAGCCATGGGCTAGTAGTTCTTGCCATACTAGCCTTTACCCAAGGTCACGCAGACTCTAGAGATCTGACGGAACTGCTTGGTCTCGAAGTTCCAAACGGTCCCCCGGCATAAAGGTGTTTCTGTGCCCATGAAGACAGCAGCGCCTGTGGTGTCTGGTGCTCCTTGGTTTCGGTTCTTTTGTTGGTTCTTTGTCATTATCATAATCACCTATATTCTCTGCTGTTTTAGAAGATATCGAAGTATTAGAACATAGAACACTTTAGACTTATTTTTGTTTTTGGACCAAAAACTTAAGTTTATTTCTTCAAGGAGTGAGCTTCATTTGTGACGTGGGCACCTTCTTCCCTAGCTTGCCAGACTTATATCACACTGGTGTGCTTTTCTTTCCTGTTAAATCACGGTTTATTAGATAAAAGTTACGTTTCTACCCATTCATTTATTCAAGCAACAGATATTTACTGAGCACCTACTATATGCCCAGAACTGTTCTGGTGACTGGGACAAGCAGGACAAAGTCTCTGCTTCCATGTGACTTAGAGAAGGAGAGACAGAAAATAAACAGGTAACCAAAAGATGTATAATATTAAAGAAAAATAAAGTCGGATACAGGAATCGGAGATCGGGGCTGGAGTGGAGAAAGAGAAATTCTTCATATCTGTGAAGAGAACTTTACAATTTATTTTCTTTCAGAAATGATGCTGATGTCTCTGCCTTGGCTGAGAGAGGAACCTAGATAAGGAAAGGAAGACAAATGCGATTAAACCAACCCAAGAGTGTGGGCTTAATTTTCTGAGATACAGTGAAGTCTGTGGAGGACTATGACTGTAAACTATTCTTCACAGGATTGGCTTTTCCACCAAATCTCAGATCCAACAGGGGGCTAACTCGAGTTAGAAAAACTTAAATTATGACTTCGAGCTGGAATTCAGTGATTTAATTAGTGCATGGCAACATTTTTATATCCACAGCTTGATGATTTCACAAATTTATTTTCTTTCTACGCGTTTGACTCATTTGAAACAGATAAATAACGTTCGTGAATACATCTGATCCAATGACGTAGTTACAGAAAATGCCACTCATGCTCTAGCATGATACAACATAATCTCGATTCTTTGAATTATAAGAATCAAGGCATTTTAAACAGTAAGTGGTCACAAGTTCGAAAAGCTAGTATGAAAAACTTTTTTCACTTTTTCTGTTCCTGTTCCCCGACTCCTTCACTTGAATATTGATCATCTTATTAGAGATCTATAAAGTTTAAATTCATCCAAATTCCAGATGATGAGGAAAGTACTGGATTTAGATTTATTCAGACTCAGCCTAAAACGAGCTAGAGCTTTGGAGGCTCAAATCCGGAGAAGACAAGAATTACTGAATTTTTGAGTCACGAAATCTAGAGGTTGACCCAGACGGGTGCAGGATCCAAAGACGAAGGGGCTGTTATGGGTCGAATGGTGTCATCTCCTCAAAATTTATATACTAAAGTCCTAACCCCCATTCTCTGAGAATGTGACTGTACGTGGAGATAGTGTCTATAAGGCTGTAATTAGGGTTAAATGAGGTCAACTGGGTGGGCTCTAATCCCATAGAGTGTCCTTATAGGAAGAGGAAATTGGAAGACCCTGTGAAGAGATGGCCATCTACAAGCCAAGGAGAGAGACCTCAGAAGAAATCAACTTTACCGGCACCTTGATCTTGGACTTTCAGGCTGTGAGAAAATTAATTGTTTAAGACCCCGCCCCGCGCCCCCGCCCCGCGCCCCCAGCCTGTGGCATTTGTTCTGGCAGCCCTGGTAGATGAATATAGAGCACAAGAAGAGCATATGGATACTGAATCTGGGTCTTCTGGGATTTAGCACAGGTCATAAACCTGGTTCTGGGATTTAGCACAGGTCTTTACCTGGTTTATAAAAACCACGTTTTTGCACAAAGATCGTCGGTTTCCTATGTGAATTCTTCTGCCACAGAAATTTTCTCCCTTCTGTCTTAACCCTGTTTTTTGTTTGTTTGTTTGTTTGTTTGGTAGGGGAGATAGAACTATGTTCATGGAGCGAAATAGTCCCAGCAAAACTTAATTAATGGAAGTCTCATCTCACTTGAATGATCTGGCAGCAGTTTAATCGATCGCAAGGCAGAAGCTGACACACGTGGTTCTTATCTAAACACGGTAAAGGGTGTCATTGTGTCCCCCTCGCCCCCACTCAATAAAGGGAGAGGCAGGAAGCTCTCCTGTCTCATGGCACACCAATGGCCTGCTC